CCGGGCCCCTCCAGCTGCAGCTGCCCGCGGCGCTCACGCTGCTGCCGCCCTCCTTCACCTCGCTGTGTCTGCCCGCGCAGAACTGGTGCGCCAAGTGCAACGCCTCGTTCCGCATGACCTCCGACCTGGTGTACCACATGCGCTCGCACCACAAAAAGGAGTACGCCATGGAGCCGCTGGTCAAGCGGCGGCGGGAGGAGAAACTCAAGTGCCCCATTTGCAACGAGTCCTTCAGGGAGCGCCACCACCTGTCCAGGCACATGACCTCGCACAACTGACACCTAGGCGTCTCCAGCGGTCCAGGCGCGCCTGCGCGCAGTCAAGCCACCCGCAGGAGCAAACTCCCGAGAACACCGGTCACTTCTTCGCGCTGGAAACACTGCACCCGCTCACGCACACACATACACACACACACACACACACACACACGCGCGCGCGCGCGCGCGCGCGCGACAGGATGGTGGATTTTTGATTGGGTGGGTGCTTGGAGGGGGGTTTTCTTTTGAATGCACGCATTTTCACTTTCCCAAAAACAAAGGTACATTTTAAAAAATGTCATATATTGCAACATATTGATGCATTTGTCATACGTTTCTACTTAAATTATTAAGCACTTACGGTTTAGATGTAATAATTATATGTAAGGGCAAAATTTATTTTAGATATAAAGTAACGGAGGAAGGTGAGGTGCTTTCTGCATTTCTTGATAGTTTGTGTTCTTACAAAAATAAACAAAACAAATAAAAAGGGGGTTGCCGTTCAGTTGAAGTTTCCAGGGGGAAGTGCATGTATCATGAAATGATTATGAACTTCAGTGAAGAATGTCATCAATTATGTAAATATGTATTTCCTTTTAATACAAAGTGTAATTTTGTGTCAGTGAAATGGAGTCTGAATAGTTATGTGTTTCTTTTATCCCTGGAAAGATTTATTAAACTTTATAGTTTATCTGGGTATGTTGGATGCTTTGACAATAAATGACTATTTTCTTCAAAGCAACTTTTTGAAAAGTTTTTAACTCTTTTGGTAACTATTACACTTTGAGGAGATACCATTCAGTCCCTGAAAAGAAGGCAAGAGAAGGCAGAACAGGGGATAATAAGCCGGATATATTTGCACTTATTTACTGTGAGTCAATTGTGTGCCTGAAAGATGATTTGACCATTGCTTAGAAAATCTTTGGCTGGAAAGTGTTGGGTTTCTGGATCAAAGGCAGCTCATTCTTAGTTAAATAGAGGGTATTTGTGTTAGTGTATGTGGTTTGTACAGTAACCATCAGACAGAAAACCATCTGTAGAATGGGACCTTGGGTTTTATGATACATAGTGCGCTCATAACCCCTAGGCATCCCCTTGGCCATCTATGGATGCTTTAGTAACAAGCACTGGTTTAGCTGTCTTAGGAGGGAACTAGTCTACTTTCTCCCTCCTCTCTCGGTCTGCTGATCTTCCCTAACCCTGAATGACACTTACAAAAGATCCAAAATGGAAAATTTACTTAAGGTCTCATGACAGGTCTCTTTTCCTAAAAGGATTTTAAGGCCTTATCTTAAGGCGACCCACAAAACAAGTTATAGTAAATAGCAAGCAAAGACTAGATTTAGGAGCCCAGCAAGGAGGCGCATACTTGTAATCCCAATTCTGAGAGAAGCCAAGGCAGGAAGATTGAAGTTTGAGTCTTGCCTGGGTAACTTAAAGAGTGTGTTTCAAACTTTAAGAAAGAGAAAGTAAGGGGGCAGGGGAGACTTGGTATCATGTAAGTAGCATGTGTTCACAGGGAGTGTAAGGAAAGTTGGTGAAAAAGTAGGTTGGTTTTCTTAGGGTCATTCCAATACTTTTTTGTCCTACGGTTGAGGCCTGCTTTCAGTTTTCCTAAGCAACAGTTTGATGACCTGTTACACTCATCCCCAAGGTGAGATAAGAACAGTCCAAAATTCCAGTTCTATCCCTGCTATTCTTAACTAGGGTGACCTTGCTTCCTGTTGACATCACTGATTTACTTTTGGCTTGGTTTTCTCATCTGCAAAATGAGTGAGGCATGCTCTACTTGATTTTCCCAGTGCGTAAACCCACTGAACCTAAAAGGGACTTCAAGATCGACAGTGGAGAAAACTGGATGACAAGAAGTAAGGAAGGCATTTGGGGGCAAACAGAAGCTGGGTCTCCGGAGAGTTCTAAATCACTTTACCTGACAGGCAGACTAAATTGTCTGTGCCTGGAACACTAGTGGAACTCTGGAGCAAAAACCTATTCCACACAAATGCAAGTTGTGCTGGGGCCTAATGAGGGAAAAACAAAAACACCTGACTGTCCTCTTCCTTTCCATCTCAGAATCTCTTTATGATCATCTACTGGGGATCCAGACAGGAATGCACCCAGGTCTGCAAATGCTACTTTTTGGAAAGGGCCTTTTCCTAGTTCGGAATCACATTTTCTGAGAATCCGTGTAGACACTAAGGCTTCCCCTGTGTTTTCTTTTGTGTGGTCATTAACTTAATCGTACCATCAGGAAGAAAGCCCAGTCTTGGCTGAGCTCTAGCCTGGGTCATCCAGGTAGGTGTTTCCGTGGCAGGCACCTTAGGGCTGTGTGGCTATGCTGAGCAGCCTGCCCAGGACACCATTTTGGCGGGCAGTGAAAGGGGAAGGGTGCCCAAAGCTAGTCTCGACTTCAGCCAAGGCAAACTTAGGAATGTTTGATTTGAATGCTGCCCGCTCAAGCTTCCAGATGCACTGTCACCCTTCTCAGAGAGGAGCCATAACCTCGCTTGTCCCTGAGCTGGCAGCATGTGTCTGCTCACAGCTGCGGAGGAAAGAAGGTCTCCGGGTCATGTAGACATCAAGACCAGCTGGTCCCCAAAGTCCACAACAGGTGGCCTAGTCCAAGCAGGTGGCCGGAGCTTTGAGCGCTGGAACTGCAGGCCCTAGAGCCATCTAGTTGCTCTGGCAGACTTTGCTTTTTGCTGGGGGTGGAAGTGGAAGAACTTCTGTCCTTGACCAGGGGCCTGGGCTCTGTGGGCTCTTCGGTTGGAGCCCCTCAGCTCTGTGTCCTTCCCCTCTTGGAGGCATTTGTGGAGGGGACCCATTATTTTCCAGGGTGCACCTGCAAGGTACAGAGTTCATCACCCTCCCACAAGGGCCCAGAAGAGACTCACACTCCGGTCTGCAGGAGTGAGCGGACCCTAGAGAGCCCTGACCAAAACCGAGTCCTTGCTGAGCCAGTTCTCAAGGACCGGGCAGTACACTCCTGCCTCTGCCACCCCCAGTTGCCCAGAGCCTGGCGTGTCGGCGTGTCCTAGTCGCAGTCCCAAGGGGACTGGTGGCAAATGCCTATGTGAGGCTGGAGCGATGCCTCGGCAGGGGAGAGGCTGCCTCGGTTCGGTTCGGCGGGTTCCTTGGAGCCCAACCAGCCACTTCTCCCAGTTAAACGTTCTCCTCCCCTCCCCCGCCCCCTCCTAACTACCGGGAAACCTGATCTCTGACTGCCATCTCCGAGATGGCAGCCAAGCGCCATGCCCCTTCCCCCCACCTAGTCCCTATTTCTAGATGTGAAGCCCAGGTCAGCCTCTCTCAGGGCCCAACGCTTCCTGTCACAGCCTCAGTGCACCCAGCCTCCGGAGCTGCAGTTCCCAGGGGGCCGGAACGTCCGCGTCCTACCCTTTCTCCCTGCTGCAACCTCCGATCTGTGGAACCTCCGGCTTTCTGTTCTTTCAACTCTCCCTCACACCCACAGACTGGCCTTCTGGAGTTCTTTTTTTTTGTACTGGGGATCGAACTCAGGACCTTGCTCTTGCCAGGCAGGTGCAGTGCCACCGAACTACATCCCGGCCCTGCTCTGGAGCTTTTTTGTTCCTGCCTGCAACTTTAAAAGACTGTCCCTGTGACTCTGCCCTCCAGCCTACGGATGCCTTTGCTGCTTTCCTGGCGGCACCGCCACCCCACCCCACCAGAAGCTGCACTGTCAGTTACCCGGAAGGGGGAAGCCACTGCAGATTAGAAGAGCCCCATCCCGCTCCTGAATGCTCCTTTTAGCTTCAAATATTCATTTTCTCCCCTAAGCTTGAGAAACGACAGTCTCGCCTGGCCAAGAGCTGGGCTGGGAATGGACCACGAAACCGGGCCACCCAATTCTCCTTCTCCAAAAGCACTCTGGCTGAGGGAGGGTCCTAGGAAACGCTGAGGCAGAAAGCTCTGCTTTGGAACCTGGGGGGCACAGACTAGGAACTCCTGCACCTCTGGCTCACCCGTGATACTCCTAAGGCAGCTTCACCTTTCCCATTTTAGTCTGGAACTTAGAACTTTCAAGAGACATATCTGCTCGCCAAGATTCCTGAGCGAGAAAACTGAAGAAATATCTTTTTTTTTAAACAAATCATTATTATTTTTTAAACTCTAGGTTAGAGGACTGGAGTCCTAGTGAAGCTAATTTTGTTACGTTAGTATATACTTATCCCTGTTCAGGTGTGTGTGTGTGTGTGTGTGTGTGTGTGTGTGTGTGTACTAGAATACTTATGCAAGTTTGCACACTTGCCCATATATTTGCAAATGTATATATCTACAAACATAAGTTTATATACACAGAAAATATAATTCCCACACTATGTACATGACTAGCAGGCATTATATTAAGTAACTGTCTTCTGTTGACTTTAATTCTCACACCCTAGTCCAGTGGAGGGCTGCAGAGGGCCCACTCATAGTGTTTTGGCATGTATGTGGGGAATACCTTGCCCATATATTTGCAAATGTATATATCTACAAACATAAGTTTATATACACAGAAAATATAATTCCCACACTATGTACATGACTAGCAGGCATTATATTAAGTAACTGTCTTCTGTTGACTTTAATTCTCACACCCTAGTCCAGTGGAGGGCTGCAGAGGGCCCACTCATAGTGTTTTGGCATGTATGTGGGGAATACGGATGTCAGCCCCCAGGACAGAACAATGAGAATGGAAGAGGCTAATAGAAAGAATAGTGGCTCTTAAGTTAGGAAGGTGCTCCCAATTTTGCAGGGTATCTATCTATCTATCTATCATTTATCATCTATCCAGCTGTGAAAAGGTCCTGCTCAGTAGCTCAGGACAGTCTGGAACTTGCAATCTTGTCTCCCAAGTGTGGGAGTTATGATATGTGCCTCCATGCTTGGCTTGTTTCCTTCATTTGAACATGTGAATAATACTCCCCATGACTTAATCACATAGCAGTGACTTGAAAAGCAAACAGCCACACATGTAGAAATGTTTTATACTGGTAACCAGTATGTGACCGGCTTCCCTGTTGGGGAGGAGATGTGCTTTTGGTCTTATCTTGCTTGGGTGGTCAGGATGCTGTAGTACTGTTATAAGAAT